AAAAAAAAAAAAAAAAAAAAAAAAAAAAAAAAAAAAAAAAAAAGAAACACCAAACTGGAAAGCCTGAACAAATGATTATGTGATCACTGACGGAGGGAGGATGATCTGGGGAAGTGGAGGCACCTAGGCAAATAGTCAATTGTTTAACAAATGATTATGTGATCACTGACGAAGGATGATCACTGCTTTTCCCGAGGATTTCGGGTAACTAAGTACTGTTTCAGACATCTTTGCAAAATCCGGAAAATTGGTTAGATTTTCAAATGCATCGATCACCATCTTTTTCAATGATGTAGCTCTCTTAAGCAAGATTCGGGCCAATGTAAGCATCGGCTCACCGCCTAAATTGGGATCAGCAATATCAAATAAACGAACAGTCTTCAAGTGCACTAAGTCGAGATCCAAATCGTCCCTTGCAGCAGGGGTCCATGTCCTGACAGATTCCTAGACGAATAACAATAACAATAACAAAATTACGACGAAAAAAAAAAAAAATCAAAATTCATTATTTCATCGATTTTGGGTATTTAATAAACATAATATCGGCTCTCTCGATTAATTTTGGCCTAAAGGTATCTGGTCCGGTATGAATACTTGAATAATAGTGGCGATGATGACGAAAATACCCTACTTCAAGCTACTTGTGAATGTTAGCCTGAAGAATCATTAATCATAATTATGACAGCATTCAGTTGCTAAATAGTACTAGAAGCATTTTAATACTTTAAAATAAGTAGAGTCATCAGCACAAGAACTTGCTGACAATTACAATTCTCACCTACCACTTCCGAACAAAGATTGTAAATATAAACAATATCCGTTAAGAGGTTATATTTTGTAAAGGGTTAACTGTGAAAAATATCCTTGCCCTCGGATTATGCCCTTCGAATTTTATGTTCAAAAATTTGCATCCTTAAAAAAAACACAATTTCTGTCGCAAGGCTGTCTAACCGTTAGGCACATCGACCACTCATACTTTTTTCAAACAAAAAAGCACTTATACTGAATAATTAAAACATAGTACAAATCAACTGCATACAATTTAGATTAAATTCATCAGTAAATTCACCAAATAAACTACACAAATTAAACTGCAAGCAACAATTGTAAGAAAAAACAAATTTACTGTTTCGTGAAAGAATAATTAATAGTGAACTAGTTAGTAGTCCTTAGCGCAAGTAATTTCTTTCTTGGTATATTTAGTTGTCTTATTTTGTGATCATATGAGGTTTTTTCAATTTGGGATTACCACTGTAAACCCATGTCCCACTCTAAGGGTAAATCATATTAAAAGAAATATGACAGTTAGCCCCTTACTATTTTTGCCGGAACAAACCAAGGGTTTTTTTAGTAGTTATGCAAATGCTACTCTTCTATGATGTTTGAATAAAACCATGAAACAGATATGTATTAAGATGCTAGCCACCTAATTGGGAAATGCATTATATACCTTGTAAGAATCACAACTGTCTATAAGAAGTTTCTTGAGGTTTGGACAAGATTCGAGCAGGGCAAGTATTCCAGGAATGCTAATCTCCTCCCGCGAAGTTTCTAATGTCAACCAATTTCGCTTGGACGATTGTGGAGGCCGCCACCCATGCGCCACCAACTTTGATAGAACCTAACATAGTAACATATATAAACAAAGAAACTCAGTTGTCTGCTAGATCTCACATCAAAATAGGAATTTCAACAAAAGAATATGGTTGATTTTTGCTATCCATTTATGCATAAATTACCAAACACAATTGAAATGAGAAAAAACGTTGCAGATTTACGGTTATCAACCAACATGGAATGAGACAAGCAACATATTATCCCCAAGTCTCCGTGAATAGCAAGCAAGACAATCCAATAGTACCCATTGTGGTTCACTACTTGTACAGCTTGCTGACAGAAACTAATATCCAGCTCTTCATGTCCGTAACTCATTTAAAATATGAAATAAATGCTTGGTACATTGTTCTTGGCACCCAATACTTTCATACACATAATTCTTGGGCATGGTGTGACTACTGATAACTTGTTGGTAAAGATAATATTTTAACAATAAGCATCCTATCAGTTCTGGCTTCCCACCGAAGCTTTGCGAGGAATTCTCCGAGACGCTTTCTCTGAGACGCTCACCGGAACGATTTTCTCTCGCTCGCCGGAAATGTCGTTCCTAGTGTTCTATCTGAAGAAGATTTTTGCTCGTGCTTCTGTTGTACTGCAACCTGCTGGTGCTGTGAAACATGGCCGACGTCCCGCGCAAGCCAAATCCCAAGCCAAAGTTGCTAGCCCTGTACCATCTTTCCTCTCACTATCTGCACTGAAATATGGCCAAGCTCCTGCTCGGTCCCCAGCTCCTGGCCGTCTACCCCCACACACCTCTCTATTTGTGCGGGGGTATGCTAATGGTGGTCCCGAGGACAATCCATTCAAGTGCCTAGACTGTAGCTATTGCTGCAAAGCTCCGTCGACTCTCTACCATCACTATAAGATGAAGCACCCTAGGATTTTCAAAGAGAACCATCGTTGTCATATCTGTGGTGAAAATTTCCTTACCGAGAGGCAATGTGAAGCTCACAAGCCAATTTGCCCTAACCGTGGTGGTGGTGGAGAAGGTGGCAACAACTGAATCAAGAAAACGACCATTAGCTGTTTTTTTGGTGCTTTAACATGGCTTACACATTACCTTACCAGACCTGTTAACTTCTAATAGTAGTCAATGAATGGTGGATGGAAGTTGCTGTTTTCTGGGTACCTGCTGCTATGCTGTGCTTGTGTATATTACAACCAGCATCTTTCTACTTCGTTACCACTTGCTTTTTAAAGTTGAATGCATGATTAAGTAATGTTGATAAAAAAAAAAAAACAAAAACAAATAACAATAAGCATCCTGTCACACCGTTCAACTTTGGAGATGTATTGTCACCAAACTCCATGTCCATTACTTCGGATATCTATATAACAAAGGAATGTATAGATTATGGAACGACATCATCCAAACTCATGTTTTGTTCTAGGGAAGCAAATTTAAAGAAGACAGGCAGTCTATGCACTCAATTTTTTCCCACAAAAATTTGAAATCCAGACTCGAAAACTCACTCGATGAGATAACCAAAAATATTTCCACAATGACTGAAAAGATATCTTGACAAACTCAACCACATATAGCTAAGGGAGAATATATAACCGAACTGTGAAGTTATCATGAAGGACCAATAGATAAACAAGAATGCAAAGAGTACTATCGATTCACACCTTAATGCATTCGCCTCTTAGTACAAGTCCACGGGCATGTTGAGTCTTTTCAAGAAGTTCCATTGCGTCAATCATTACCTCAACAGATACATTGGTTACATCGAAATCGATGTTGGCGCTAACAAGGGATGATACATTCATGAGCTGCAGTTTTGTCTTTCTCGGACGAAATGAGACGTGTAGCTCCTGTAGAAAGGGTGCCGAGATATTCATCAATTCGAATATGCTGTTATCTTCATAGTCCAACACCGTAAGGCCTTTAATACTCTCAGAATTTACATCCAAACGCTTGAATCCCCAGCATGATTTCAGCCGCAGCTTACGCAGGACTGGACAACATGATAGTATCTTTTGAATCACACATTCGTTTAGCTCCACATCGTTAATGTTTAACCAAGTCAAAGATGGCCACTCAATCGTGCTCTGTGGACCCAAAATGCAGCGACCCAAGAACAAGGACTCCAAGGAAGAAGAGGAATACAAAACCTGGGGAAGAATGTGAAAACATGTTTCCGAATTGAGGTCCAAGCTAAGAATTTTCACTCTATTTCTCAGGGCAATGCGTACCCAAGCGTTGACATCTGAGGCATAGCACTCGCCGTACAGAAAGCTGACCTTAAACTCCTCCAAATGAGTAGTGGTGCGGAAAAGGAGGGTCCTGTGTACCCATGACACGAAACTGCTTGATTTCTCGATATCCCAGGTAGAGTTGAGGCACTCTTCTTGAAGGAAGGCCAGCCTGGGCAGTTGAGGCCAGATATATTGCCATCTTTTGGACAGCACGCAGGTAGCTGCAACTTTGGTCACATCAGAGCCCAGGAAAGAAAGGATGTGGAGAATTAAGGAATCCGGCAGGTCACTCAGCCGATCGACTGCTGTCTCCTTATCCCGTTGATTGTCCGATGAAAGTGGCCGTCTCTTGTCTGCCTCAAATACATCTCTCGTCCTTGCCGGTGCATTTTCCAGTCCAAATTCGCCAAAATCGTCATCCACAAATTGAGCCACTCTTTGGCCACTCATTCTGTTGCCAGCAAGTTTCTCACAAAACCAGATATAAACTCATAATCACCTCGCTTTGCCCATCCATGTACTACTATTTATCCAATCAAAAAAAACGCAAAAGAAGATCATGGATTAAAACCACCGGCCTCGGAGCCTCTCTCCACGCACCCTCTCCTCCTAAGCAACGTACCCCCAAACCTCACCGGAATTTCCAACCTCCGCTCCTTTATTCCTCTTATGTCGCCGTAACTACAATATTGAAAGAGGATGAGGAGAATAATTCTGATGTTGCAAGAGGTGAGGAAAACGAGAACTGCAGGACCGAATATCGTTCGAGCCCTCTCATTCTGGTTTTGTGGGCAAAGCCTGAAACCCTCAAATTGGTTTTGTGAGAAACGTGTAAATAATATATATATATATATATATATATATATAATACCAATCAAGGGTATTTATATATGGTTTTGTGGGAAAAGCAAGGTGATTATGAGTAAATAATATATATATAATAAGTTAAAAAAAATTTGTTATAATATAACACATGTAGGTTATACAAAGTCACAAATAAAAAGTGTCATACATAATATAATATATACATATATATATTTATAAAAGGTATTTAAAATTTTAACTACTTTTTCTCATTAATTTTAGATTTTATGAAAAAATTGGCAAGCACCCGTGTAATACACGAGCGTTGTACTAGTCATTAGTATTAATAAATCAAAAATACTCGTTAAATAATATTTATAAATTAAAATCATTGAATGAATATATAATACAATTTATCTATGGATAAAAGATATTCGTTAATTTTTATATATTATAAATATTCATTTAACAATTTGAAAAAAAAAATGGAACCAATTTGTAATAATATTTATCTATATTAATTTATTAAAAATGTTATATGAAATTTAATTTGTTCAAGATTACATAAAATATGTATACCTAAAATTAGTATACAACATGTACAGTGCACGTAACTGAAAATAAATTACATTACATTCATTTCACAATAAGTTTCATTTTAAAAGTTTTATTATGAAATTTGATTTGACTACAATGTGATTCCATAGAATAAATATTTTGGTAAAATTTTATAATATATTTTAAAATCTATGTGAATAATAAGTACAATTATAAAACTTATATTGTTTTGTTAATTAATATGGATTTGTTTTTGTATAAACTGCCAAATCAAAAAATTTAAATAGTGGAGAAATTTATTAAACTATAAATAATTGACTATTCCATTTATATCCAAGTTAATATAGACCCGTAAGTTATGAATATTTACTTATTTGACTTTTAAATATGGAACTCAAATTTGGACTATACAATAAATTTCCTTATATACTAGTTTGTTTCTGTGCACAGTCGGCCCATTTTTTGTTATATATTAAGTACGTAATTAATATATAATAATTATATGTTGCAAAAGTATGTTATTCAATGAGTATTAATTTTAGTATATAGTTATCTTGCTATTATTCCTTCTTGCAATTTATAATATAAAATAATTTTTTTTATCTTTCAATTATAGATTGAGGCATTGGAATAAATGAAATTTCAATGTATAATAAAAAGCTAAAAGTCATACAATATTAAAATTCAACTAAAAAACTATTTGATATCACTCGTTAGTTCTAACCACACAATAGATTAGCGAAGTTGTATTGCAACAAGTATTGGACTTTTCTCGTAAGTAGTCGTTGAATATCATCATACATTAAGATTAAAAATATGTTGTCCATTTAATGAGAAAAAGACTAAGGGGGCGATTGTTTATAGTTTCAACAGTAAAAAAACTAATCAAAACTCAAATTTAACTAAACTTTAACTCAACTCTAATATCTCTCATATTATCAATATAATTAAATAATATTAACCAATCATTTTTATACATCACATCAACTTTAATTCACTATTCATCCACTCACATAATTTTAACTAACAATCACTTCCAATCATTTTTCTCCTACTTTACATCAAATCTACTTTAATTATTTTATTTAAATATTATTTTAATACATCCACTAACAACTAACCATACTACTTTTTTCAAAGTTAACTATAGTTAAAAAAACAAACCAAATAAAAACTAGTTGAATTCATAAACAATCACACCCTAATGCATCAATTATCCACCAATAGCAGGCAATGTAAAAAGAAGTTTTTTTTATTAAGCCTTAAATCTCAAAGTTGTGCTCAAAAGTGATAACTAAATGAACCTTGTTTAACCTTGAAGACAATCATTAGCGTGGTTTGAACGGACATACAGACCCTTCCACAATCCCAATGTCATTCACAAATCTCTCGCAGTTTAAGAGCAGTTTCTTATCATGTCCATCCCTCCACAATCTCAATGTCATTCACAAATCTTTCACAGTTTCAGAGCAGTTTCTTATCATGTCCATCGACTCTAACATTTCTTTTTAATCTTATTAATCTGCATGAATACCTTAGTATAGTCATGAGTTGCCTATATGTGGTTTCTCTAAAATTGCCTCAAAACTGACTGCATGGATATAGCAAATTTCTTTTAACTGTTTTCTTTAAATGCAGTTTATTTCGTGGAATAGTTAAAGCATGGATATAGCAAATTTCTTTTAATTGTTTTCTTTAAATGCAGGTTATTCATGGAATAGTCAAAAAGAAAAGAGATGGTTACTGAGTTGAATGTGCGTTTTTTTTAATCCAACTAAAACGGGTAGCGTGGTGTTCTTCCCAAAACAATCCGTTCAAATACAAAAACTTTAAAATGGAATTGGCACCTTCGCTCAAATGCTAATATAAATTCTTCCTCTACGTCCTCTAATTGAACAAATGTTTCCCACACCTTTGCAATCGTCGGATGAGTATCCACCATCTTTAGAATAACTTCATAGCAACGTCCTTCAATTGTTTTAATAAAACATGTTTGTGCTGATGCGTTGTGGTAGTGATGGCAGACAACAGGTAAGAATGGCTAAAGAAGTTATACTGGAAAAGCCACATTAGAATGTAAACATAAGAACTAAAACTAAAATATTGTATGCACATCATTACATTCTCCTGTAGCTTAAGACTCGCTTGCTTCGTAATAACCTGCAGAAAGAAACATGGTGCGATCATTATCATTCACATACTTCACGAAAGAAATTTTGAACGATTTATTAGAGAAATTTGAAGGGTGGTAAGAAAAATAATGTTATAAAAGACATCATGCATCATGTAAAGAGGGTTTACATTTTTTCTTTTCACCTTTCTTCTGCATAACCAATGCCCCTCTCAAAGCAACTGAATCGCAACATACAACTCAACTCCCCAACATTGGGTGAGTTGTAGAAAGTAGGGTTGTAAACGAATCGGATCAAAGCGAATACTCAAAGATTCGATTCAGATTCGTTAAAATATTCGAAGATTTGAATCTGTATTCGATTCGTTAACGAACTCATTTTTTGATTCGTATTCGATTCTTTTAGAATATTTGAACATATTCGATTCGATTCGAAATTCGTTTTCAAAAAAAGTTATAATTAAAAAATTATTATAATTACTAAAAATAATTTTTATTTTCATATATTTTTAGGAAAATTGGTAGTTTATGATGTTTTTATTCTTTGTGTCATAAAAATAGTAGGAATATAACCATATATATATATATATACATATATATTATAAACAAAATGTATACTATATGTAATTTATAAAATTTATATAACATTATTTGTATTCGAATTCGAATATTTCGAAGTCAAATCACGAATATCGAACTGAATCAAAAAAATTTGATTTGTTTACAAAACTAGTAGAAAGTGAATAGAATCACTCGCAGAAATAATCTTATAGCAGCTCTGCTATCTTGAATACCATTAAAATGCCAGCCACAGGAAACTTAAAACAAGAAATCTAAAATAAATAATCAATTCTGATGGGTTATATGTATAGTTACAAGCATATATGCTCAACTGGTTAACTCTAAGTTACTCAATGTCACGTGCACGACGTTCAATACTTAAATGAGCAAATCAAGTAAAAAGACCACAAGATGCCTATGAACGTGTGACAATTCTAACTTTGAGACAACATAACTAAATGAGAAATTGTACCTGAACTTCAATGAAAAATTCTACTGAACCGTCCATAATCACAGCCACAACCAAACCGCCAGATAATGTGAATTAGAGCACAACTCATCTAAGAACATCTTGTTTAGACTTCCTTGCAATTCTGACTTCGACATTTTGAAAACACCAAGCTGAAAATAATAAATAAGTAAATAAAATACAAATACTGATACATTGCCAAGATAAAGACATAAGAATTAACATGCAACTAAAGATCACTATACCAACTGCGAATAAATCAAGTGCTTAAGTTTTCAATCAGATTGGATAAATGAATAGTTTCTACTCAATCAAACAACTGTAGAACTGAATTGACGACCTTTCAATAAGAGGCTTTAGAAATCAGAAATGGACCTATGGTAAGGACAACAGTTAGAGCTAGAGTTTATTTGAAAAGTTAATACGATTAGTTGTTAGTGGAATTTAAAGAATATATCAGGATAATATTTAAAATAGAATGATTAAAATTGAGTTGATGTAAATATATGATATACACGGTTGGAAATGATAGGTAATTAAAATTATATGAGTAAATGAATAGTGAGTTAAAGTTGATGTGATGCGTAAAAAATGATTGAATGAAACTCGTGATATCCAATTTGATCACGGATAATGGAAGAGTGACACGTGACAAAGCATACAAGGGCTAAAAAGGGCATAAAATGCTCAAAAAATGGATTTCTAGATTGCATATTTTTCTAAGTCTGGTCAAGCTACGAAAACAAAAAATATTTCTGACCGAACAAATCCTCAAAGGACGAACATGCCTTCAAGGTACGAACAGAAAATATTTCGGATCGAACAGGTCTTCAAGGTACGAACATGAAATATTTCGGACTGAACATGTTCTCAAAGGACGAATAGGCCTTCAAGATACGAACATAAAATATTCCGAATCGAACAGAA